TCCCACTCACACTGCAGGGTGAATTCTATCATATTATGGTCACTGTCCCCTCGGGGTTCCTTCACCTTCAGCTCCCTAATTAAGTCTCGTTAAACATCACCAAATCCAGAATTGCCTGTTCCCTAGTGGGCTCTACCACAAGCTGCTCCAAAACAAAACATCTTGTGGATATTCTGCAAATTCCTTTCCTTGAGACCCAATACCAACCTGACTTTAACACTCCATCCACACATTGAAGTCCCTATCATTACTGTAATAGTGCCTTTCTTACATGCCTTTTCGATCTCCTGATTTATTTTCCTCCCCACATCCTGACTGCTGCAAGGAGGCCTTCACACACTCCCATCAGGGTCTGTTTCCCTTTGTGGTTCCTCAACTCTACCTACACAGATTCTACACCTTCTAACCCTATATCACTTCTTTCTATCGATTTAATTTCATTTCTTACTAACAAGGCAACCCCGCCCCCTCTGCCCATCAGCCTGTCTTTTCAATAGGACTTGTACCCTTGGATCTTTAGTTCCCAGCCCTGGTCCCCTTGCAGCCACATCTCTGTGATACCCACAACCTCATACCCACCAATTTCAATCTGTGCTCCAAACTCATTTACCTTGTTTCATATACTGAGTGCATTTTAGTACAACACCCTCAGTCCTGCATTGACTGCCCCCTTTCTCATATTGTCCCCTTTCTCTGTTGTGCCTGAAGTTAGAATCCTGACCCTTTCCATACTTTCTGTCCTATTACTTGTTCTGGAAACTTTAATAACCTCTGCCAAGTCCATCTCACCCACTTTTACTCTTTCCACAATTTTCCATGCAGTTGAAGCCCACCCTGCCAACCAATGTTTAGTTGAAAGCTCTATCTCTGGCCCTAGTTATGTGATTCCCCAGGACTCTGGTCCCAGCATGATTCAGGTGGAGCCTGTCCTATTGGAACAGCTCCCTCCTTCCCCAGTACTGGGGATAATCTGTCCTGAATTCAAGCCCGTTTCTCCCATATCATTCTCTGAGCCATGTGTTTACCTCTTTTATCTTGTTGACCCTGTGCCTATTAGCTCATGGCTCAGGTAGTAATTGAGAAGTTATTACCTATTTGGTTCTGTTTTTTAATTGAGTCCCTAGCTTCTCATATTCCCTCAGGAGAACCTCTTTCCTCTTTCTACCTGTATCGCTGATACCTATGTGATCTGTGACAACTGGATCTTTACTCTCCCATCCCCAGTTCCTTTGCAGCCCAGACAAGAGTTCCTGACCCCGGGCACTAGGCAACACAGCCTTCGGGACTCTGTATCCTGGCCACAGAGAGCAGTGTCTATTTCCCTGACTGTACTATCCCCTGATTACAGCTACATTTCCCTTTTCTCCCCCCTGTTGAATGGCTCCCTGTCCCATCGCGCTATGGTCAGTTTTCTCATCCTCCCTACAGTCCCCATTCTCATTCACACAGGGAGCAGGAATTTCAAACCTGTTAGATAAGCTGAGGCTCCTTCAGCACTACCTCCTGGACCCCTCTACCTGCCTCGCTCATAGTCACAATCCAAAATGGTGGATGGGAGAGGATTGCAGCTGTAAGAGCGGCTGTTTTGTTTGAGATTTTTTCAATGCTGGAGCGGATTGCTTTCTTGGAGCAGTAATTACTGTTTTTGTACGACTTGCATTGTTTTTGGAACCGTTTAAAATAATCAGAAACGATACTTTAAATGGGAGGAAAGGGACAGAGCAGGAGACAAAGTTAAAAGGCATCTGAATGGATATGTGAATATTGATTTGATTTGATTTATTATTGTCACATGTACCTAGGTACAGTGAAAAGTTTGGTTTTGCGTGCAGTACAGGCAGATCATACCACACAAAGATCATAGGTGATGGAACAGAGCGAGGAATACAAAGTTACAGCTGCAAAGTAGACACACAGAAAGCAAGGTCAACAGGAAGGGTTTAGAGCGATATGGACCAAACACTGGCAAATAGGACTAGAACAATTTAGGATACCTGGTCAGCATGGATGAGTTGGGCTGAAGGGTCTGCTTCTGCACATCTATATGACTTGATGACTCTGTCCCTGACCAATGACCAAATTTGGGGTAGTTCATCTAAGGGGTGTGACTGCCTGCTGAAACACAGTGTCCATATACATCTCCCTCTCCCTGATGTGTCACAGTGTTTGCATCTCAGACTCCGGCTCGTCAACTCTCAGCCAGAGTTCCTCAAACAATCAGCACTTGCTCCAGACATGGTCACTATGACCCACAGTGGGGCCCACCAGCTCTCCCATCATACAGGTACAACACATCGCCTGGCCCGGCATCTCTGTTTTCATCACTCAGTTCTTAATTTGATTTTTAAAACGTTTCGTACTGGTCTTTTTGTTGTAGCCTGTCAACATTTCTCCTATTTAACTTCAATGTGCAAGTGGTGTACTGTATAACAGATAGTCAGTTAGTAGCTATCACCAACCAATGAACATTCAGTTTACCTGTGATGTCATTTGTGGGGGGGCGGGGAGCATGGAGGAGAGGCTGGAAAAGGTAATGGTTCAGAAAGAGTTAATGGTGAAGTTGCATCAAGTTCTGCCCACTGGTAACATACATGTCACCTCTGGCTCTTGATAGTGTCATTAGGCCAAACTAGTTCTTACTGATTGTACCGACTGTGATCATGCAATAAACTGCACCTTGTTTTCAAGATATGTGTCGCTCTAGTTAACACTCTGTTGTGCTTTATAGACAATTAGACAAGCCATTAAATTCTGCACAGAAAGGAGGATTTCTGGGGTACATTAGCACCCCAGGTAATATTATCTTCCATTCAGTTTTACAGGTTCCTGTACTAGTTTTTGAAGTTTCAGTTGACTGTTCAGTTATGTTTTTGTTGCTGTGCCTCACCTGGGGCTGATTAATTTGATGAATGGTTTCTTTAAAAAGAATACAAAGGAGGATTTGTTGCTCTGAATAAGCCTCAGTAGTTGGTTACTGGAGTCCAATGCTCCAACTTTCAGGCCCTCCCTTGAATTTTTCTCTGCATTTACTGGGGTTGAGGCTTATCTGTACTTTAACTTCATTCACGCACCTCATCAGTGTTCGCCCGAGCCAGTGTGCAATCACAGTTTCACATTTTTATCAGGGCTCCCTCCACTCCAGCCTGTCAGTATCTGACGGGATGGAGGGAGGGGCAACGTGTAGATTTCCAAGACCCTCTGCATAAGGAAGAACAGCTTGGCTCACCCAAACAGAGCAAAAATGTGGCATTCTCTCCCAAACAAAGTAGATCCTGTAGCTGATTTAGAATGATTAAATCAGTATTTGTTATCATTTTGATCAGACAAGGGGCAGTAAGGATATAGAGCAATGGCAGGTGGGCTACAGATCAATCACAATCACATTGAATGGTGGAGCCAGTGAAGAGGGTCTGAATGGCCGCCTCCTAGTTCCTGCTAGCACATCCCGTTAACAATAGAGAATCAAAACTTGGAAAGTGCCCACATCAATTCTCGATAAAGTTAATAACTTCAGCATTTATTACTCCCAATGCTATCCTTTGATGCGAACATTGTAAAACTGATTTTAAACAGTCTCACTCCAGGATTGCAATGTTTCTGTGAAAAGTTGAAAACTGTAATCCAGCAAGTGGCTGAGCTCGAGCATTAGACTCTGAGCCGGGAGTGTCCAGGTAAATGAGTTACAGGACAGAACGTAAGTTTGACAGGAACGGACTAAATCAGTTTAATCAATTATAAGCAAAGGAGGACATTCAGCCCCACAAACCTATCCCGACATTGAAGTAAATCATGGTGGGCATATGCCTTAACTCCATTCACATGCCTTAGGTCCAGAATCTAACAAACCCCAGAATCTACACCTTTCCTGAGGGAGACCATTCCAGATGTCCCCTCCGCTCCCACCTCTCCATACAAGGGAGTGTTTCCTGCCGGCCCCCTGAATGGCCTGGCTCAGATTGGAATGTTCTGCTCCTTGTTCTGGACTCTTCCCCAACTCTCTTCATTGACAAATCAGCTCCTTCCAACATCTGAGTGATCTCTATGGGATCACCCTTTAATCTTCGATATTCGGGGGATTACAGTCCGGTGGATACAACCCGGCCTCATCACGTAACCCTTTCTTCCCCAGGATCATTCTGGTGAATCTGCTCTACCCCCTCCAAGGCCAGTCTCCCCTTCCTGAGGAGCAAGGCCCAGAACTGAACCCAATTCCTCTGATGGGACTTGTACCAGAGTTTGAGAGAATAGTGCAAAACTGGCATTCTATCCATCATGTCTGCACTGGCTCTGCAAATGAGTTTGGTAACTTAGTGATAAACTAAAGCGTAGTTTCCTCTACTCGGTAATCCAGGCTGGGTCAGTTCAGTCTCAGTGAATAATGAAATGCAAAGGCTAAACATCTTTTTACTCATTCATGGGACATGGGCAGCACTGGCTGGGCCCAGTATTTCTTGCCTGTCCCTAGTTGCCCCTTGAGAAGGTGGGGGTGAGCTGCCTTCATGAACTGCTGCAGCCCGTGTGCTGTGGGTTGACCCACAATGTCCTGAGGGAGGGAATTGCAGGATTTTGACCCAGTGACACTGAAGGAACGGGGATATATTTCCAAGTCAGGATGGTGAGTGGCTTGGAGGGGAACTTGGAGGGGGTGGTGTTCCCATATATCTATAGTTCCTGGCATCTTATGAAGTGCTGAGGGAGCGCCGCACCGTGGGAGGGTCAGTGCTGAGGGAGCGCCGCACTGTCAGAGAGTCAGTGCTGAGGGAGTGCCGCACTGTCGGAGGGTCAGTGCTGAGGGAGTGCCGCACTGTCGGAGGGTCAGTGCTGAGGGAGTGCCGCACTGTCGGAGGGTCAGTGCTGAGGGAGCGCCGCACTGTCAGAGAGTCAGTGCTGAGGGAGCGCCGCACTGTCGGAGGGTCAGTGCCGCACTGTCGGAGGGTCAGTGCTGAGGGAGTGCCGTACTGTCGGAGGGTCAGTGCTGAGGGAGTGCCGCACTGTCGGAGGG